CGCGAGCCTGCGAAATCCTTCCCACCCCGATTCGGGGCAAAGGCGCGAAGAAATGACCCCGAATTCCAGGAAATTCGACGCTGCCCGAACGAGAGAGAGGCATTTAAAAAGGGAAAGGAATTCGGCCTTCCCACGGCCTTAAACGCCGGACGCCGTCGAGGATCGCGAGCGTCGAGGATCGCGAGCGTCGAGATCCCACGATTCGACTATCCTCGTTTTTCGACGGTTTCCGGTCCGTTTCGTTGGCGGGTTTGCAGTTCGCGCCCGTTCGTGCCCGTTTCGGTTCGATGAGATGGCGGGTCGTCGGTTTTCGGGGTCGTCGGTCTTCGGGGTCGTCGGTCTCGAGTCGGTCCGATGCACTTTCACCCCGTAGGATCCGTCTTCGTGACTGCAGAGGGGGGTCCATCGGCTGGGAAATTTCCAGCTGAGTCCATGCGATGCGAAGCTTTTAGTGACGGCGAAAATCGAACGATGGTTCGGCCGGGAAAGACCGACATAAACGTTCGGGGTCATAACGTCCAGTTGCAGATCTGCACGCCGCCATCTCTAGCTAAAAAAAGAAAAAAAAAGTAAAAAAAAAAATTCAGAGGAATGATATGGAATTTGTTCCTTCGCTCTCGCATTCCTCGCAACGTTCGCTAATGAAGACAAGATGCTCACAGATATGACCAAGCCCTCTAACCTTGAAGACCCGACCGAGTTTTTTTGCGGCCAAGATCGCGGAAGTGCGAGATTCTGCCGCCGACCGTCCCGTGCTCTGACGACGCGAACGCGACTCAGTGGTACCGCCCGCGGCGGTTAGATGTCAGCAACATCTGGAGCCTCGGGGGGAGAAGATGTGGAAAGCCCGAACCCTTGCACGACGATGAATTGCGATTAGCTCCCCGGCCTAACGGAAAGCTTTTAAAAGCCTTGCTAATCGCGGATCGACGGATCCTGCCCTCGTTTCCATTCGGGGTCCTTCGTGCGAAGCCTCGAATCCTCGATGTCGTTCTTGCCTTGGACCCCCTTTTTTTTTTCTCTCCATGGCGATCGAGGGAGGGAAAGATCTCGGGGAATTTCACGGAAACCAACCCGTTTGCGGCCGAGGCCCCCGCGAGAAACCGTGCGATCGGCCGTCGGAAACGCGAAAGTCCTCGTCGCTTTTCCCGCCACGTGTCCTCTCTCTCCCTCCCTCTCTCTCTCTCTCTCTCTCTCTCTGTTTCTCTCTCTCTCGTATCCTTCGATCGTCGGAATCCGCCGCGAGTTCCTCATTTCCCTCAAGGACTCCCTCTCGGCCTCTTTTTTCCCACAATCCCTCATCTTCCCTCTCTCTTTCCGTGTGAGTACCCACGAGGAAAGGGAGAAAAAAAAAAGGCAAAAAAGGTGTGAATATCGTAGCGGACCCGTTCTACGATATTCTCGCGCGGCCGATAGAAGCTTCATCACGCCAGTAATTCCTCGTAATGACGGTTATTCAGCAGAAACCTTGCCGTACTCTCCGGAGTCAAATGAATACACAAAAGGGTTAAAAGCATTACATTACACGGCTCGGAAAGACAATTGCATACCATACGAATGCCCGCACGATCGTAATCATCCGATGAAGGGATGTGTTTCGAAAAAAAAAAGGCGCGACAGGAAAAAAAGGAGTCAAGTCTGACATTATGAACCCTTTTTTTCTCGTGCTACCTTGAGCTTTGAAATGAATTCAGGCGTCTGCATCACACGAGTGACATCACGCACGAGGCCGAGATGAGATCATATCCTCGCCAAAGATGCCCACGTCGTCTCTTGCTCCTTCCTTTCCCGCGACTCCGATCGCGGCACGAGGCGATTGTTTGTAGAGAGAAGCGAAGAGATACCTTCCGAGAACGAGCGTGGCCTTCGTAGGGGGATGGGGATTTTTTTATTTTTCTCTTCGATGCCCCGAGGAGGCGGGCGAGAAAGGTTTCGCTTTTGGGGGATCCCCTGACCCACTTTCCCTATCGACTGACTGAGCAGACGGAGAGGACAGGAGGCAGGAGCCCCGAAGCCTCGACAGTCTCCTCCAGAAGCCCCCGCAGTGGTGTGAAGAAACCGCCGATCCCGGCCCTGGTGAACCTCCCATCCCCACCCAGATGTTTCCTTTCGCCCGGTAGGACGTCATTCGGCGTGCAGTCTCGCTCTCCGCGAGGACCTTCGTTCATTCGTGGATTCGTTCTCTCTGCCGTCGGTTGACACCCGGGCGTCCTTCTCCTCTCCCGGTCCCTCTCTTCGGTTCTCTTCGTGAGTGCGACTTCGGTTTTGGAGGATTTTCGACGGGTTTTGCGTCCCAGGTGCCCCCCCGCCGAATCCGAGTGTCAGTGCGAAGGATGTGGCGACACGTGTGAGACGAGCGTGAGACGTGCGTCTCGATAATTAGCGTGCAACACGGACATGTACGACGTCCAGTCTCGGTGAAATAATTTATCTCTGGCCCTCCTTTTGGGTAAGTGGTCTCGGTCTGAATCGGACACATGATGGTTGCGTGAAGTGCACGTGTGTGCGAGCGTGTGCGTGTGCTACATCGTAGCGGAAAAATGTAGGCCGTGGCTGACCAGACAGACGCGGCGACTTGACTTCACTTGTCTTTTCTTTGGTAACGCTCCATCGGACCGTTCCCTCACGCGAGAGTGACGGGGGAAGATTCTTTCCCCGGTGTGAAAGGGCCTCGGCTTGGACCCCCCTTGGGCTCTCTTCCCTCTCATCTTCCGCCTACGCACTCTTTCGGTATAATGCATTGTGTCTATTTGTAAGGGTAGAACCCTCACTTCTCGGTCTGACGTTTGGTGGTGGGAAGGTATGCGTTATCGAAGTCAGAAATCGTATCTAGGCTCATAAGGGGGCAGCAGAGCGTATCACCCCCCCGATAGCTTCTTGCGAGGGGAAGAAACTGCGTGGGAAGGGAAACAAGGTGAAGGCCCTGATTAAGCCTATTTTTAGGATTCTCCGAATTTCCGCGCGGAGATTCCATTCCGTTCCACATCGTGACCTTAGGTCGCCCGCGAAGGAGAGACGAAAAGAAAAGTGGTTGTCGCAATTTCGATCGATGATGGCGAAAATGACGCGGCAGATTTTGTGATCCCGTTCTTCGCCCGAAGCCTCTTTTCGCTGCACCACCCGTTAACCTCAAGGCTGGGTGCGGGGTACACGTGGGTTACCACTGCAGTTGACGGCCTCGAAAACGATTCGAAAAAAAAAAATTTGGGGAGGGAAAAATCCGTATCTCAGAAGATGGTGAAATGTATTAACCGTTCCGCTCACATGCGGCTCTTTCACTCACGCTCCTTCACTCGATTAACCCCCCCTTACCGCGGTTGAACAGTTTTGGGGAGAAGCGGGGGAAAAACGGCTTCGACGAAGGCGGAAAGAGAGAGACATTAAACGGGAGACGATGAAGAGGTCGGAGTAATGGAATGGAAATCATTTCCCCCTTCTCACGAGTCAAGAGTACGTGAAAGGAAAACGAGGAAAGATGGTTAACCTCGATGGCATGGAGAGTCCATTTCCACCTTTCACTTCCTCCTCCTCCTTCCTCATCTCTTCCTGTCTCTCATTTTGTCTGTCTGGCCGAGAGTCCTGGGAAAGGGGATTGCCGTCACCCCTGGCCTTTTTTTCGCGCAATTCTCCCCGCGCCCAAAACATGGTTAATCAGGCGCAACTCCTCTGTCGGTATTTCCTCTATCCCCTAAGGAGAATCTCCCTCTTTGAATGCATTTTTTTTGCTCCCCCGCCATTGTACTGTCGGTCTGGAGACCGGTTTCTCTTCTGTCCACCCTTAGACGAGATGCGTCCATGAATCATTCCATAACAGAAAAGGCAGAAGACGGGGCATTGACCACAGGAGAGAGAGAGGGAGAGAGACAAGAAGCCATTCTCTTGTGATATATCACCCACGTGACCCATCCGACATTCCACTTTCTCTTTCCCTAGATTTCCCTGGATTTTTTTTTGTTTTTTTCCCTTCCTTCCTTCTCCCGTGGTAAACCGACGAGGGAATCGGGATGGAAGGAGTCCTTGCGAAATTTCCTGGCTGCTGAAAAACTGGACTCGACCCGGCGAACAGGGCCGACAGTCTCAACAGACAGGTTTTTATTCAGGGGATGCTGTTGGGTGGTATCCCGAAAGGGAGTCCCCAAGGGGCCCTTAGGGGATGGCTCCGCTTGGTGGTGAAAGTGGCCTGCCTGTAGGCCTATAGGACTCGCTAGGCCTTCCCTTTTCCCCCTTTCGCAACGTTCTCTCCACCTTCTCTTTCTATCTCGTACGCACAATCTCCTCCTTCGGGATGGAGTGGATGGGACTGGCGGGGTAAGAGATTTTCGCCTCGCTAAGAGGGGAGATGGCGTAGCTGACCTTGCCTCGGACTGCCTCCGATTCCGCAGCCGAGTTCGTTAGTTTCATATGAGCTCCCCTGCATGAAAACAAGAAGTTTCGTGTGTGTTTGGGTGGGAAAAAAAAAGAGAAAACCTCACAATGCGAGGTTGAGATTCGGCTTCGTAATCCGCGTCTTTCTACTCGGTGGGGGGGGGAGGGATATTTCCAATGGCCTTCGTATGATGTGCTCGACAAACGTTGTGCAATAGCCACGCCCCCCTTTGCACTCGCCGATGGAGTGTTTGCTCTAAATCCTTGCGATCGACGGCTTCTCGATAATCTAGATCGGAGACGCCAGATGTCTGGATTAGGTAGAAATGAGCCGGGGTGCGGCCGTGAAAACGATGACCCGGGTGACCCCGGCCATGTGAGGGGGTCATCCTTCTTCCTCGTACCGGTGCCAAAAAAAAGTAATAAATTTTCTTCCAACGGGGACAGAACGGGAAAACGGGGGAGAATGTGGGTCTGTTGGAAGAAAATCAGGAGCCCCGAAGGAGACTTTCTCTAGTCGAATCCGAGTAACCCAAGTCAGCAGGTGTCTGGCATGCTTGTGCACTCGGCCATGCCCAAAGAAAAAAAAATGCCATTCATCCTTTTATCGGTTCCATCCATCGCCCTTGATGTCGATGACGTGAACCCCACCGATGATCATGATCCCCCTTTATTTTTGCAGGAGTGGGAAGCAGGAGGAGGAGGATTCCGACATGGTGTCCCGCCGCAAGATTCTGTCTCGGTCCCGGGACGACCTCAATCTCGACTACGCCTACCTGGAAGACGAAGAGGATGTCTGGTATCAGAAGGAGAAACTCTTTCGGGTCGGTATTGTTATTATTTTCCTTTTAAATCCATCTCAGGGTCACTTTCTCCATGGAACCGTCTGTATGGGCCGTGTGCCCCATGTATCGGTGGCAAGGTCGGAGAAATTCCCGTCGAGGTCAGTCCGGAAACGGAACTAACCGATCGTAATAACTGTAGCCTCGGAGAAAATGCTGCAGTGCATTCCACTTCACTTTCGGTTTCTCCCGCGTGTGGCTGCTTTCTCCAAATATTTTTTTTATTAGGCGCCGGAGTTGCACCTGTAATTGCGAATAGGGAGTTGATGGCAATGAAGTCAGAGCGCCATTGTTCCACTCGTTAACTTTCGTTCTGAATGACGATCCTTGTCTTTCTATGGCTCTCACTTCACTTTCTTTGCTCCTTCTAACGTCATTCTTAAAATCCCCAGCCATGTAACGCGAACAAAGGAAAAGATTCACTCGGGTTATCTCCTGAATAATCATGAGGAAACCATTGCCAGCTTCCCTTTCGGCCCTCGAGGAATTCCCAACCGTGTAAACACGAAAGGTATCGGGTGTAGCTGGTTTCGCCTGGCGCTGTCGCAGTTGGCGTCCCCTCCTACTAGTTGTACGGAAAACAATACACAAGTGTCGCATCTGTATGTGACTAGATGAAAAAGAGAGGACGAGTGTGACAAGGTGTCTTTGCAGGGGAATCTCGTCGTCCTTGGATGGAGTTCCGACTCGCAGTCCTTTGACTCTCCGTCTCGTCCTGCTTGTTGCCTATGTGATGAGGGGGGGGGGGGAGATTGTTTCCCCTGGGTTTCCAGGAGATTGAATTATTTGGGGTCGCTAGGTTTCTCGATCCCGTTGTGAGACGAGTTCCGGTCATCTGCTGCCGTTAAGGGTCGCGAGATCGGGCCCCGGCAGGAACAAGGTGGGGGGAGATGGAGTTTTGACGCGATCCGTTAAATGTCTGTCGCATGGATCCCCTAAGTCTCGCTATCAACATCCTCATCATCGTTCTTCTCATCCGCTTCGTTTTGTATCTGTGGAACCGCTTGAACCCGAACCGGAAGGGATGAGTACGACGGGACCCGTCCAGACGGATTTTTCGCACCACTACTTCAACCTGAATCTCGTGATGCGCGTGGAAGCCTAGGTTTAAGATTCCCGCTATGTCTGTCTCCCTTCCTTTTCGGGTCACGAACGAGGAATGTTCGACCTGGTCGAGGTGGTTCTAGTGGCTGTCTTCGTCATCGTCATCCTCATCGTCAGCGTCTTCTCCCGCTTTGGGGAGCAAGGGGAAGAGATGAACGATCGATGGTGAATGGGCGCGGTCGGGCTCGCGTGTCTCTTCCGGTAGAGGCGAATCGGTTGGAAGTGGAATTCGTCGTCGTCGCCATCCTCGTTTAACTGCAGAAGGTTCCACGGATCCACTCGGATTGAGAAGATGCTGTACCTGAGCGCCTTGCTCATCGAGATCCTTTTCGTCCTCATTGTCGTCTACTTGATCCTCGTCGTCCTGCGTCTGTTGAGGAATCTGCACTCCTCGTAAAACGATGGCGCTCGGCCCGTACGTTGCCCCCATCCTGAACGTCTTCATGGTGGCCACCCTCGTCTACTGCATCGTCCGGTGCGTCGCGAAGCTGCGGGATCTGGAACGAGCCAGCTATGTGGGTTCCAGGCGGGGGTCCATGGGCAGCTTCGATGCAGCTGCGGCTCAGATGCGTTCGAGCCCGACCACGGCTCTTTGACTCAGCTGAATCTCTGCAGTAAAGCACTTCGTTTCCTCTCAGCCATCTCAGAGTTTCTTTCGCTTCGTTCTCGTCTCATCTTCATCATGACTGTGATCGCTCAATTCGCAGGATTTTCCCATTTTCTCCCTGAACTTTCTCGTCGTAAGAGTTCGTAATCCTGCGACCTTATGCCTTTAACTGCGTCCAAATCTACATCAAACCTTGGATCCGGGGTAAAAGACTGAAGTCTGGAAACGATGAGAGGAATACTAAGAGAAAATGTATATAGTGGATAAGGGAGGGGACTCTTCCTCGTGAGGCCACCTGTGAATCCTCCTCCTTCTCCTTTTATGGACTTCACCTCGAAGGGAGAAGATTCATCCTCACTCGACAAACCAGACTCATCCCCTTCAAATCATTCCCCCCCCCCCCCCCCCCTTTTTTTTTTCTCAAGGGAGGGGGGAGGGGGAAGGGACCAATTCCCCCCCCCCCCCCCCATTTTTTTTTTTCAATGCTGGTCTGCGTCGATATGGGGAGTCAACAACCCGAGCATGTATGCTGGGTAATGGATCGTTCTACCTTTCCCCTTATTTCCCCCCTACAGGGTCCGTAGAGTTGAATCATCTCCCAGGAATCTCCATTAGTGGGGTTGATGGCCCACCACTTGGTCATCATTGATTACACAGTCCCTCTCTTTATTTTATAGGATCACGTTCAAGAGGTGCTGGAAAAATGGGAGCAGATCGACGACGAGATTTGGGCAAAGGTGATCGTGATGGAGCGGAACCGCCGCGTGGCGAAAGCCTATGCCCGAGCCCCTGTCCTCACAGTCAATGGTTCTGACGAAGGATTCGACGGATTTCGGTACTAATCTTTCTTCAATGGGATGAGACGCCCTCGCGGTTTTATTTTGTTCCCTGAAAGCGATATTTAACGTGATGGTGTCGTTCCTTCCCTCGACAGGATCGGCCTTAGTGGGTTCGAGAATCCGATGCGGGATCCAAAGACGGAAGAAGTCAAACGTCACATTGGACACGTGAGGACTTAATTTCCATCCGACATACCCCTGACCGATGTTTTCCCTGGGAAATTCCCTCTGCGGGGTTCCATGTTTACCAACAGCAGTCATTCCCTTCCCTCTTAACGTCTCGTTATCCCTGTTTTCTTCCGTCCATCCGCAGGGGGTGAAGATCAAGATGGACGACGCGGGGAACATCTTGATCAAGAGGATCGCGAAGAGTAACGTGTACGTCAAGAACACGATCGAGGAGAACAGCATAGGAAACGAAATCGTGAAGATGCCCAACGCAGCATTGGAATTCGAGAAGCCCTGCAAGGTATCGCACTCGTATTTCTACCCCCGTTGAATCGTAGCTTCGATCATGAAATACGACCCGTTGGCCGTGGCAGTTGTTCGACATGAAGAAGTTTCAAGGGAACGTGTCCCGCGAGTTGAAGAGGGCATACCCGGACCGCCGTCGATTGGAGTGGCAATGCATCACTGCGATCGCCTTCGTCAGGAGCGAACCCGAACTCCTGGAATGCCCCTCATGGGTCATGATCATCAACATCGTCGCCATGGACATGCTCAAATCCAAACTTCCTCCCGGTGTGTCTCTCCTCTTTTCCATCTCTTCCACGAGAGTTTCATCCCTCTGCTCATTGTTTCTTTTAGTTGAGCCGTTTCTTGCGTTCGAGTATTATTGCCCCTACTTTTATTGTTTCTTGAAGTGTGTGGTGATGGATGATGATGATGATTGTGATAATGCAGTGCGGCGTGGAGGAGATCCCAGGACCCGACCTCGACTTCCGTTACCAGAGGAAGACCCTTACAGTGTTGCCGGATCCGGATCGGCGGGTTCTGGCGGCTCCTCCGGAGACAGTTCCGGGAAAGAAGGCTTCCGTCGCTCCGATAGACCTCCCAAACTGCCCCCCAGGGATAGTCCCAAACCGCCTTACACCATTCCCAAGGTGGCTTACATTCTCCCTAGTGAATTTTGGAGAGAAAGGAAAAGTTTACAAGGTTTGCTTCTTTTTACCAGCCGGATTATGACCATGAGGTGGAGGAAAGGTTCAGGCTACTACAGAGCACGAGGGCAACGAAAAAGAAGGAAGACCGCAAATACGGTGAGAACTCTCGTTGTCTTCGGGATGCTGAGTGGACGAAGGCGAGTTTAGAGTCGGGGGCGGTTTTAAATAGCGCAATTTTGTGTGACCGTGATGCTTTTCTACGAAGTGTTGAATCACCAACTCCATAACGATTTTTCAGGAATCAATGGGGCTTCACTTTGTATACGCTTTGCATCGTGGCGATGTCATACCGGTAACCATCCTTGTAGATGAAGATCGATCGTCATACGTGGTTGTAAATGGAGATGTATTCCATACACTTTCGAAGACAAACGGCAGTAAAGGATCATCGTTTTGGGCGCTGTCTCTCTTCAATAAGACGAATGGCCGTGTTTGGTATTCTCTCCATATTCGGGTCTGAAGCGCTTCGCGTACTTGGTGATGGCCAAAACTCGAGTATATATATATTTTCCGACTCCATAAAAAGCACGCAAACTGATATGACTGGTTAGCAAGGTTCTGCTTTCACTCTGAGGAATTTATAGTGAAAGATTTGTCCCTGGGTGAGGGCGAACCTTGACCGAACCAAAGACTTGTCATATCTTGGAGTAGTTTCATTCAACGATGGCGTCGAAGCAGAAAAAGTAACTCCCTTATAGATCTCTTGCTCTAAGCTTAATGTAGAACCTTGAATTGACATCATACGGTATTGCGCACATGAATTGTAACCTGGACAAAGAACCTCCCTGCCCTTGCCATTCATTATGCGCTCGGGTTCTTGAAAAAGGGCGCTTTTGTTTCTCGAGGAAGTCGTGATCTCATATAACGTAATCGTCATAATCTCCCGTTGCTTATTTCGTTTCAGAGGACCCATACTATTGCGGGCTGAGGGCACGAGTGTCGAATTTCGTGAAGAGCAAAGCCCTGAGTGGAGGAGGAGGGAGTAGGAGCAGGGATCGCGATCGAGATCGAGATAGGGATCGGGATCTTCCCGGTCCCACCACTTCCGTCCCCGTTCCCCACCAGCATCCTTTGATGTGGCATTCCCGTTCCTACGACTCCGGAATGGCCCATCTAGGTGCAGGCGCGTGGAATCATCACCCTCCCCTCCCCCACTACGAGGTTCGATACGATCCCAAGTACGACGTGATCAGGAAGAGGCCGATCCCGCCACCGGCTCCCTTTCATCCCTGCCTCGCCACACCGACCATCCTCGACCAAGGTCAGTCCCGTTCGTGCACCAAATTTGGCATGGCACGTATCGTAGAGTGACGGAGAAAGATGTCCGGTGTAGATGGAGATTACGCGATGACGGAATCTCCGTACGAGAAGATATACGGTCGTCTTCCACTGCCAAACCGTGCCTACGTCCCACCACACACGAGGAGTTTGTATCCCCGAGGCTGGGAATAATTCCCTCACCATGCGCTTACATAGGACCCATGCTTACGTGAAGGGAAAACAGACCCGATGGTCACGGGAGACTATACGAAGGCAGACATGACAGAAGAAAAAAAACAACGGAAGTTACCATGGATATTATTCGAGGAATCTCTTTCCCTTGTTGAATCCCTGTCTCTTCTTTTAATTTTAATTGAAGGTTCCCCTTAAAATATTATGATGAATGGGTTTGAGTTGGATTTTTTTTTCATGTTCTTTCGAGGTGCTACTGCGTGTGGTAGACCTGGAGCACAAATTGGGACAATTATTTTTTCCCTCCCTCTTTTCTTCCTGTTGTGACTTCATTTGGCTCATTATGGTTATTCGTACCTGAGATCCTTTCTCGGACATCAGCCATGCTGGTTTCCTCTCGAGCGATATATACCATCAAGTTTTTGTGGATGTATGGTTGTGTTTCTACATGTTGGGAAGCATCGGTGTTATGTACATAGGAATCTCCTTTTTTAAGGCAATAAAGACGTGATGTCGTGCCGAGGGAAGTTGTCGTTTTCATTCGTGTTGGGGACTTCAACGCACGAATTGCAGCCATGTTTGTCGAAGCACACGAGTGTGTTTTTTCTGTTGCGCGTTTTGGAAAGTGAAGAGGCGTGGATCGGAGACGTGCCACGCGGGCGTGAATAATGAAGTCGTGGCGTGAAATAGAGGTACAAGTTCCGGGAAGGGAGTTGGCGATGAGTGATAATTGATTTTTTTATTTGAGGAAGAAAGGAGAGAAAGAAGCAATAGAAGGGGAGGCAGGTTATGGACACGTGTGTGAGAGAGCGAGGTGACCTTGTAGAACGAAGACAGCGGATCGAAGGAGTCCTGTAATGAGGGAAGATCATGAGAATCTCCTTTCCGTGGAAGGCGCAGATGATACAGGACGAACATGCCCGACGCGAAGGCTATAAAAGCAACGTGTTTAACCGGACGACTCGAGATGACTTCAATGTCAGATTGTCCCCGGATCCCCAGCCGATCGTCGTCCTCCCTCCGATGGATGACACTAGATGGCGCCGAACGTGAACAGTCCCATCTGCTTCCTCATTCGTACATTCCATATGGCACAGAGGAGTCTCATCATTCCCAAGTTGCTTCACTTCCGCATTCGCTGTCCAGTGCTGATAAACCTTGGTTAGCATGAGGAAAAGGTACTACAAGGCCCTTCACTCCATTCATGCGCACTCGGCATCCCAAATAGGTCGACATTCTGATGGGATGAAGAGGGTCAATGGGGCAGAAGGAACAAGAGAACGGCGTTATAAATAACTCCAGTATTGAGATACTTAAGCATAAAATAGGGGCTTGACAGGTGCTTCAGATTTTTCTTTTGCGGTACTTAAATTATACTGAAGTGCATTCTTCCTTGTAATTATGAACCTCTAGTACTCTCGCATGCAAATGTGCTCTGATGGCCTTAAATATTATTCTCAATACAGTCGTGAAATAAATATTTTCCGAGATGATTTATGAATTTGGGTTACCTACGAGCACCGATTCGAATTAAGGACACTTTCACGCCACTTTTTTTTTATTATCGGCAACCCTGATCCTCGGCGAACAGCTGAACGACGGACCATTCACACACATTCCCAAGCGGCATGTGGATGCCGTCAACATGTTGCGGCAGACAATGTCCATTCCGTGCAATCGTCGAGAAAAGATGAGATCGCAATGACATCGGACGTCTGTATAAATCACGTCGATCCACATCAGTCTCGTAAAATTGATGTTTGCGCTTGATTTACGGATGCAATCCATTCGAGAAGGACATTGTCACAGTCCACGTAACATGTATTATTTGATTTTTTTTTTCTCACCGATTTCACGAGGAAATACTATCTGGCTATATGGTATCGTCTCTATCGTACATCATCTGGTCATCTTCACGTGCCACAAAAAAAAAAAATCATTTTCAGGCGGCTTTAACCCAGAAAACATATTCGCTCTTCCGAGCGCTCGAGATCCCGATATCTCATGAAAGATGGCAAAATGTTCCCACGGAAAATATGTCAGCTCTAATCGACAAGAAACTTCACATAAACTTTTTTTTTTTGGGGGGGGGGGGGGCCGGTCCACGTTTCCATAATTACCCTTCATCTACCCCAAATACAAAAGTGAAACGGATTCCAGATGCAGTTTTCACATGTGATGTTTTTGCGGAACCTTTGAATGTCTGTCTAAAGGTGCGTGGTATTTGCATTTTCACGATGCTGGGAGAATGCTTCGATTTTCAATGAATTGCACGGATTTTATCATTTAAAATAAATGAATGAACGGTTTGACGGCCCTTTGGGAACGCCCGGAGTTTCCTATTTCCGATTTCTTTCGGCGAAGTCTCAGGAATCAGCGCGCGTCGCACTCGTGGCTGGCCGATGGAATTTGCATTCCTGAAGGGATGCAACCTAACGTACGTGAATTACCCGTGAGTTACCTGTAAAACTACCCGCATTTTATGAAGGTATTTTTCGCCCGATTTGGGACTCGAGAGGCCGACGACATGCCGCGCCGACACGGTCGAAAAAGGGGCTGCAACCGATTCTTGCAAACAGCGCAATTGATGGGAAGGTAATTAGAAAGGTAATTGGGACCTCAATTACCTAAACCCCCCCCCCCTCGAGAAGTCATTTCATTGCACCCTAATCGGTCGGACGAAGAAGTCATTAATTACTTAATTTGAAGTACTCGGGGGAAACTTGCAACACGCCCGAATCCTCATTGGCCCATCCGAGCGAATTCCACGAGGGTCTTTGGTCGGGTGGATCGGGAAGATGATCTCGGATGATCTCGGATGATCTCGTGCTTCGTCGTCCGTTCGAGCGCGAGATTCGATATGGCGAATTCCAATCGCTGCACTAATGCACAAAGCTGCGCAATATCGCGAGATCACGCACGGACGAGCTCCAACGTGCGACGATCGAGCATCCGACCGCGTTCGGTGCAGTGCGCTGCATCGGTGCAGTGTGCTGCATCGGTGCAGTGCGCTGCATCGGTGTGGAAATCGAGACTCGAGGGATTTGGTAGCTCGAAACTGTTTCTAGAGGAATTCGATTCCGCATCGCCTTTTTTCGCGTCAGGAGATTACGAAGAGGAATCGTCGGTCACGATTCGCGATACCGCCGAACTCACGAAATTCATCAAAAGTCACGCATTTTATCTCGATGGCGACTGTCGCCCGAGAAACGGTGTCATCCGACCCGTACCATCTGCTTCGATCGACTCTCTCTCTCTCCCACCCGGTCGATTTGCCAGCCTCCCGTCTGGCTAAGAGCCTCCCATCCGGATTCGAGCCACTTTCGGCCGGTTTCACTCCGGTGAGTCTCCCGATGTCCGATGGGGATTTTCCTCACTTCGGGGTGCCTCGGCAGGTGGGTCGCGTCGCCTCTGCCGCCGAAAATCTCAAACCTCTTTCTCCATCCGACCGATATCGTAAGAAAAAATTATCGTTTTAAACAGGTCCCCGCGCTAGTTTCTGAGTTATTTTGTCTCAACGCGTCCTTCTTGCCCAGCATTGGAACCTTCACAAAATCGAAACGTGCCCCACCGAGAGGCTGACTCGACGTTTCCCCCAAGTGCCCAAAGAAACGGCACGCACCGTCGGAAGAGGAACCCTCGCAGGCCCATAACGGATCCCATTCTCTTCGCCACTTCGGAAAGGAAAAGTGGAGCTTGCGTCACGAATTTCGTGAGAACAGGGGGCCGATACGTGGGTGAGACCGACAAGCAAATCAAGGCAATATTTCACAGACAACATCCACCACGACTTCGTCGGCTTCGACAGCGGACTCGGTTCGTTTCACCCACGGCAGAGGATGGCAACTCTCGCCATCTATCGTTCCGTGTGTGAACTACTACCTCCTGCACTCTTCGCGCCAGTGTGCTCGTGGTGTTAATGCGCTTCATTTCTACATGCAACCCTTCATGCCCTAATAACAGCTTTTGGCCATACTGATCCTCGCGTGCAGTTACCTTGAAATAACTAGTTGCTATCGAATTAAAAAAAAGTTGCGTTAAAAATAGACGAGTAAGCAGGCGGTGTTTAAAACGGATTTCAATCTGAGTCAATTCCGGACTCACTGTTTTTGGTCTACGGCTACCTATCTGGTACAATGAAAAACAGTTTATAAAGCGTGAGACATTACTAAAGCTGTATACTCCATTTTGACAGAATATTGGAAGGAGAATTCGGAAAATGCCCAGAGCATATTTTGATCGTAGTCCAGCTGACCAAGAGTAATCGTTCTGTTCGTGTGAAATACGTGAAAAAGTGTAATGCACCGATTCCGGGGTTTCATAACAGGAAACATCAAACCCGTGTGAAATGAGTCTGATGCAGTCATGGAAGGAGGCCACATAGTTTATTTCCAATTCCAAGAACTTAGTCTAATTCAGAAGGTCTATGTACAAGGAAGCGTACAAATGCAACAAGAGAAAATTTCAAATGAAAGGAACTTTCCTCGCATTGTCTTCGTTTCTTTTTTTTTTGTTTCTCTCATTTCGTGTCTCGATGCCTGCGTGATATCACATCACTGAGGGTGGAGACAGAGACAGAAATGAAAGAAGCCCCACGCCTGGATACCTTTTCGTTTTTTCGCCCCCTTCTCTTGTCTTTGCAATGGGCAATGACTAGCTGGCTCCACCCTTGCTTCCAAAAATAATTAAGAATTGGTTCAGGCGATCACAGTACGGGATGCACCTACGAACAACAGGACCTTTGATGCTTTGTCATCGAGGAGAGGAACAAATCCTTTTTTTTTTTTTCCTTTTATCCTCTCCTCACCTTTGCACTTTTCCACTTTTCAGGAGTCCCAGTAGTTCTCCCATTCTGATTCTGTTGAATAGAAACAAGGAAAGCGTGAGCCATAATTTAAAAAAAAAGGGAAAAAGAAAAGAAAAAAAAAAGAAAAAACAAACTACACTTTGGACATGCCTCGCTCATTGATGATTTGAGGGAGAGTGCGAGAATGGTGGAGTTTGTTGCTGTTGTTCTTGGTCATTGCCCTAGCGTGGAGATCTCCAATAAGCTTCATCTCTCCCTTCTGGGGGTAGAAGCCCAGCTGACCTGCGATGCCACACGCTTCGTCGCTTAGAGTTCCTCATTTTCGGGCAATTTCTTTTTTTCTTCGTTGTATCGAGAGAAGACTTACAGAGATTGGCTTCCATGCTCCTGGCATGGTTCAGCGGGAAGAACGGTGTATGAGCGGGGATGATGGAATTGTTGTTATTATTGTTGTTGTTGTGATTGTTCCCCCTGGTCCCTCCTCCTCCTTTTCGACCCGACAAACCCTCCTTGAAGGCGTTCGGGTTACCTCCTCGAGGGGAATTGCTCGCCTTGGCACGGAGTCCACAGTAGTAAGGGTCATCTGTGGGAAGGGTCCGCACATGTCATGTTCCTTTCGAATGTCATGCCATCAATCAAGGATTGAAGGAGCAAAAAAACTCGGTCCGAGAACTGGGGAATTGGAACGCGAAGGAGGGAGAGGGAGGGGGGGGGGGGGGGGGGGGGGGGGGGGGGTCCCCCCCCCCCCCCTTTTTTTTTTTTACTTCATAAAGGGCGTTACTGGGAGGAAAGAAAGGAGAGACGACGATCTGGTCCAGCATTTCCTTTGACTAACTGTATCAATTTCCCGTCCCATTAGTCCAGGATTTCCTTGTAACGGGTTTAGGTTTCCTAAGCGCCGGAAATTCCTAGCATGTTTCCACAACTGCTGTTATGGATACCAGTTTTTATATTCCTTTTCTCGCCGAAATTCCTCATATGAATTATCTCCTCAAATGACACGGGTGGCCTCCACTGGCGTCGTTCATGATCTGGTGGTACCGTGCATATGAATGTTGAAAGAAGCACAGGTTCACAGTCATCAACCAAAACCACAATCAAAGGCGAATCAAACCGTGAGATGACGCATCAAGTTTTTTCTTGTCGCAATTTAATCTGGAAATCTTCTAAAGGCCTTTCAGATAATTTATCGCTCTTTGGCGAAGAAAACAGCTATTAAACTTACTTCAAGCTGGAATGTAACAGCGAAAAAGCAACAATGGTTAACGAAGCCCAGTCGAATGGAGGACAATTTGCCTCTTTCTCTTTTGCAAACGGACGCTGCCAGCATTCAAAAGCAGCTGCTTATCAGCGACACCTGCAGGTCGTGAAAATGGCCTATTGTCAGGGTTTTTTCTCGTGGGATCCCAGGCATTCCGAAAGATGCTCTTGAGAATCGGCTGGTGAGAAAATAAGGGAAGGGCCAGGGGCTCCGCCCAAGCCGCATGCATGTGAATTGCGCAATGAAAGCAAGCCGAGAGTGTGCAGCCATGCTCTCAGGGCATTCTCAAAAAAAAAAAAATCCCTGGAAAAAAAGGAAAGCGACCGAGTTTCAAGGTTCACTTACCACAAGGTCCATCAATCGGTCTCGGCTAGACAGTGAAGGGACCACGTCCACTTCCTACTTTGCGTCCATTGTTTACAAATTGGCCCTTTGGGAATTTTGACCGAACGACCCCCGATTCCCACTTTCGAAACTGCTTTCTTTTTTCCTTCTTTCTCGTCGCCTCAACGTGCATTCCAAGCGCGCGATTGTCTCCCAACATGGAGCGACGGGGGGGACAAGGACCTTCGCAGTCCGAGGGAAATAAAAGGAAAAAAAAATTTTAAAGCCCAGGCAGGAGGGCAAGGTTTTCCACAAGAAGCCAACGAGGGCGTGTCGCAACTTTGGGCACGCAGACGTGGATATAAAAGACGAAGAACGAAGAAGGAAAAAGAAATCTCACGCCCGGAGTAGGAAAAGGTCACGAGGAGTGATCTGAAATTGAGACTTCATGCCTCAACTTTTCTTTCTTTCTCCCTCCCCTATTTCACACGCTCGATCAAGGTCACTTGTTGCACATCTCCCTCTGAGCTATCTCTCGCCATTCAGCCCTGCTCCCTTTCCGCTCGGACGCACGAAAACGAAATGAGAGGAGATGGAAACTGACTCGATAGAGTTTGTCTCGTTGAAACCAAATGTCTTCGTCAGGCGCGTGAAGGGGGAGATCTGAGTCCAAATTTTCCCTCGATTTGGACAAAATTCTCCTCCGGGAAACCATCTTGCTTCTGAAAGAACAAAAACAATGCATGAATTTTCCCCCAAAGTCGAATGCAACTCGGTTCTCATCTTGCGCTATGCTATGCAAAAATGCAAATGGAAAATTTTTTCGCAAGAGCAATGGAGTGGCGTGAATGGTTTTTTTTGGACCCCCAACCTCAACTCGGAATAAATGCGGGCCTCATTTCCGCGGTTACTCAACCCGCGTTCCATATTAATGACACAAGACGACCATAATGCCACGGATGAACTTCTTTTTAAGGCGCAGGAGTGTAAGTGTATCTCCATATCTCGGTCGGTGGTCATGGATTGGGTTGTCAAATTCCCCGGCAGGGGTTTCTCAGCAAGGAGTCTTCATTATCTGGGCCACCAAGCCGACGTTTCAATTTCCAGGTTGAGCAACTCTGTTGAGCCCCGGGCTGGGGTCTCCAATGACGCAATTCATGCAACACACGCACTGTTACCGTACGCCGCACCTTGTATTCCATTACCATGTTTTTATTACCCTATCCCATTTCTACTTCTCGGGATGAATTCACCCTGGCATTAAAGAGAAAACGAAGAACACTTGCGCGTCGACGTCCTTGTGCTTCCGGTCGACACCGTGGCTTCCTAAGCAGACGTCGGCACACGATTTTCGAAAAACGACCAACGATGAAGGCACTTCGAGAGCAACAGAAAATGCAGCATTCACCTGGGGAGGCTAATGAAAATAGACACTCACACGTGAAATGGGTGTGTGCGGATGGAGTGCGGATCAGGAGGGAGCGGAGGTCCTCATCGCACCACGCACGAGCAACGACTGACGCCCGCGGCTCCCACCGATACCGGACCGCGAACGCGAACCTGACGTCACCGTGACGTCACCCCGCCCATGGCTCATGGCCCATGGGTCCCCACCCAAAGAATTTCCTCCCTCCAGGTAAATCGTTTCTCATATATAGAGCCTGGCCCGAGGCGACTCCCTCCGCTTCGAGTCCCGTGTTGCCATGGATAACGAGGAGAGCCGGTTCCTTTCCTCGCTTCGACACTCGGCATGTACTTGGCACATCTGGTGTTCGATCGCCCGTGCGCTGGATTCTGGTCGATTCCATCATGGGGGGTGATGGATGCGACGGTTGACATCCGGATTCGGAGTTCGCTGCTATGATTCCCGGGAATGAAGAAACTCGTCCCGGATCTCGCTTTCACTGGAACGGCATTGAACTTGAAAACTTCTCGGGAGGAAAGAAGATTCGACCTCGACCTTCCTTCCTTCCTCCCCTCTCCGATCGATTCATCTCTCACTCAGGGGAACCCCCGAAAAGGAAATGGTTAGGGGAAATAACGAGATGATTCAGAACGTCGTCATGTAGCCCCACCTCAAGGTGATTTACTTACTTGAGATTCAGATGCTTGAGGCGTTTATGGGATCGAAGCTTATCACGAGTACCCACCCGCGAAAATTGCGGATTCAATGACTGCGTAACTAAAAATGGATACGTACAAGGTTAGTGAAAGATCTTGAAGTATGTTATGGCTGCCGAGCACCATCGCACCATGACTCCCCTCGAGAGCCACATGGACCCGCGGAAGAGCTGCTTCCTGCCAAGGATCCTCTCGTTCGTTTTCTGATGGCGAGATAGTTCCGTCCGCCGATTTCTTCAAGGTCGCGGAAGAAACTCGGCCCGTCCTCCGAAGACTCCGGAAAGCGACGAAAGAGAGAAAGGTTTCGGCTCTGGCAGGATAGAACCGGTCGTGCGAACTGCCCCCGGACAGCTGGATTGCGACGAAACGACTGGAACAGAGCCGGCGATCACGACGAGTCGTCGTCGTGACTCCAGGACGAGGTGTAACGCTGTCTTGTTCGGCGCAACACCGTCTCGAAGGCTGTCGCAGGACTGACCTCGTGAGATTCGTCCAAGAACCCGGTATCATCCTTCCTACTTAATGGGGTAAGCTTCCGAGGACAATAGCCTGTGCCTTGTGACCTCGTGATTGCGAATTATTACGACTGGTGTGCGGAGAGAAACGCACTGTCATCTTCGTATTCCAACCCGTCATCTACGTGTTTATGACATTTATTTCCGCTAAGTATGTTCATTTATCCATTCATTAGAATTAGCACATCGTGGGGTGCGTAAATTTTTACCATCGAGTTTCCTCTTCTCGTTGCTTTGATTGGACTGTCGGCAAACAAGTACCCTATTCATCCGAGTCTGACGGATTCAGCCTAAAGCTTTCTTTCTGAAAAAAAAAACCTGGTGTGGCCCCCAACCACCCTTAAAGGGTTCCATCCCACTCTAAACCCAGTCGAGTTTCGCCCCCCTCCCATACGGTGTCGATCTTCCATCAATCTTCCCCACATCCCTCGAGCCTGAGTAACCTGGAAACTCCTTGGACTAGGTCTGCTCCTCCGACGAATTTATTGAAAAATTCAAATGAGTTCTCCTGTCGTGTCTGTGGGGAGAGATGGGATTCCGTGGGAAAAGTATCGGGGACCGATTCAAGCTGTATCAGGTATGGACTCGCTGCAGCGGCTACTTAAGCGCCATCTCGCTTCAGTTGTGCGAACCTTTGTTCGAGCTTCTGCCAGATGGCAGGCCCGCAGATGTGCTTCAAGATAACGTCTGATTAAC